GGTATATGGTTGCTCCGTTCCATGTTGCGATCCAGCTTGCCGTGCATCGGGCTCAGGATGTTGGGCCCCACCAGAGGGGCCAGCTGCAGGAACATACTCCACAACAAGCACTTGGCCGGGCCTAGTGGTGAGCCAACCCTGGGCGTCAGGAGTGAGGGGGATATGCGCCTGCCAACCTCTAGGCGCATCATCGTTCAAAGTGTCAAGCAGGTCAGGCAGGTGGACCTTGCCGTCATGGACCCTAAGCAGCCTCCAAGAGTCCTGAATCTGTCTGCAGTCTAACAGACAGCAATGCCACGGCCTACTGCCAAAGACACTGGGCGGTTCCGTAACAGCAAGGACGTTGCGACATAGGAAGCCTGAGATCTCAACGTCTATGGGCCGGGGCTGCGCCGCCTGGATCCGAAGAGCACTGAATGCAAGACCTGTGACCTGTGCTAAGGCTGTACGGTACCTGGTGGGCTCGGGAGGAGGGAAGTACAGGAACGAAGCGCCCGGCTGAACCACACAGGACGCGTCAACGGTAGGTGCTGCCGGCAGGTTGGGGTCGGGGATCCAGCCCTCATGACCCAAAAGGCCTTCTCCTAATGTCCGGCACATGGGTGACCCAGCTCCACGGGCAACGAAGGACACCAGTGCTGCCGGGAACAAGTGCACAGGATTTTCACCAACTAAAGGCGCAGTATCCATGCCGACAAAGATGTCAACCTCCGCGTCATGGTCCAGACACGCAAGCCGCAGCAATTCGTGCCTGGCTGCATAATCTGGAGCGTGAACGGCGAAAACCCGCCCATCCACAGCAGCGGTTGAGAAACAGACCGCGTGCTGATCAGCACTCCATGTGGGCGTGGCGATGAAGAAAGCGTTGCCCTCAAACGGCTGAGGCAACACAGATTGCAGTCCGGCAAACAGACGCCGGGTGTCCTGGCACCGAGTTGCCTGAACACTGAAGGCAAGCTCGGCTTCAGTCGCTGGCAGCCTAGCGGCAACTGAAGCAAGCTCCGGTGCATACCCTACCTTGAGTATAACGCAACCAACGCGAAGGAATGTCTCATCTTCTTCGTCTGATGATAAGGAAGCATCAACGAGCGGCGCGCCATCGTAAGGCTCGTGTGCAGCATCAAAGTGCCAACGACCCCCGAGCAGACCTGTCAACAAGCGCAGGTGTGAAAGGTGCCTGCAAGCTCCCGCAGATTTACCGACGGGCTCGGTCAGAAACCTGCAGCAGATGACATCACAACTAAGAATTCCCAAAAGCAGCATCGCGCCGACACATGAGATGTCGACAGGGAGGACCACGACAGGCAGGGGAGCCTCGACAAGGCTGTTCCCGTCGTCAAGCATAGTGGCCCCTGCCGGCGCGCAGATGGCAGCTGCCGCAAAAACACATGCAAAGCATCCGAAAGCGCGAGATCCGGATGCCGCAGGGCCCCTGCGGGGCGATCTACTACGACTCCTCAGAGCTCCTCTGTGCACAGATGAGTTACCGACACTGGGGTCAGGAGAATCGCCAGACTCAGACCCCTCATCATCGGCGGCATCATGGGGGCTCGGATGAGCAGCTGGGCTCACATGGAACTCAGCTGATGAGGTAGGAACATACTCAGCGACAAGGACACAACCGTCGAAGACAGCCAAATCCCCCGTGTCATTGTTGATCTCTGCACCTTCGACCTGAGGCTGCCAACCTTCGGGCGCAAAAGTATCCAGCCAGTCCATGAGCTCCACATGAGGCAGGAGAGGGCTGGCCGAGGGCCAAAGCGTCCATCCCTGGAGCAGCGGCCTGCAATCGATCAAAGTGACGCAGGAAGCCCCTTGCGGTTGCGCCATGGCGTCGCCCACATTGGCGAAAGCGCACAATCTTTCACAAAACAAACCTAAATACTCAAGGTCCCCAGGGTTAGAAGCCCCCAGTGTGAAGTGAACCCCACCAGCTTCAGCGCCGTGTTCCCGCAGAACAGTGGCCTGGAGGGTATCATCCGTGGCTTCAGTAGACATATAGCCGAAAGCTGCGTCTTGTACCACGAGGACGCGGTGTCCGTACGGCGGGGCTGGGACCTGAGGCATGGGGTCCCAACAAAGCGGGGACACCAACATCGTCCAGATCGAGAATCCTTGTACGACCCAGCGTGCCCCCGCCCGTCGGATGGTCACAGTGCCCCCGACGACGAGGTCGATCTCCTGACCGGGATGTAGCGGGATGTGGGACCGGAATGGAAACACATCCACAGCCGCGTCAGGTGACAGGCCTGCAGCTCGGATAATGTGATCCCGGGTAAATGGGTTAGCCATTGGAACCACAAAACATCTATCGTCCAGCTCAAAAAGATTAAGCAGAACGACTGGCTCACTCCGAGCCCAGAGCGGCAGGGAGATGGCTGTGCCCCAAAATTGAGTCGGCTGGGGGTCCGCGAAAATGATATGGGGATAGTACCTGCTGCGGGCTTCGGACATGGCAGCTAAGACGGCACCTCGTGCTGTCTCCAAAGCACAGGGCGCTCGTAAAGCAACACGGACTTCCTCTGGGATTGTGTGCATGGCATACACCAAAAAGGTGGGGTGCCAGACGCCATCGGAGTCGTCATCTGTACCCTCGTCGTCCGCACCATGCACAGGCCCTTCAGCATTTGGCGGATCCTCCCCAATACGGTGGAAAGGAGCTGGCAGATGGCCAGCTGCCCCAGCGTCTTGCATAACCTGAACCGCCAAGGCTAGGTTATCTGTACCTTCAGAGGGCACTTTGAAAGCCGTGGAAGGTGGCAGCCCGGATGGCCCATCATACGACATAACACATGACGGAGCAGAGGCAGAGGGGGGCGTAGCGTCACAGCCACACTCAGAGCAGCCAGACTCCGAAGAAGGAGAAGCGCAGGAAAGCCCACGTTCCTCAGACAGCACCTTAACCAGGGCAAGCGTGAGGGTCTCGCCGTGGTAGAACTCGAAACCTCGCCTGCTGCGTCGGCCTCCGCTAACGACAAGTGACCAGCCCGGGCAAGGAGGAAGGTCAAGTGCAGCATGCAGATCGGCGCGGGTCACAACGCTCGCTGTCAAAGTGAGCAGGACAAAGCTTCGCCCCAGCGGGCGGCAGTCAAGAAAGACGGCGGAAAACCTCTGACCTCCACAATTGGCCTCGCGGGGGGAAACGCCGAGTACACCTTGCACATGCTTGCCCCTATGCACTAGCGAAAACCCCGGAGGCAGGAACGCGGCCACAACCCGCGTGGCGGCAAGAGAGGAGCCCAGGCTGGCTCCAATTTGTTGTATAGTGCGCCAGTCGTCACTGCCAAAATTGTCAAGGTGCATGATGCCTGACTCATGTAGCACCAGAGCCCCAGAAGCAACCCTGGAAGCCGGCATGCGGAGGGCCGAAAAATCCTTTCGCGGCAGGCCAAGAGACAAGGGGATGCTGGGTGCCCAGACAGGCTGTTCGCCAAGGGGCAGAAAAACCACAAGATCACCATTGCCGAGCTCAGCCTCACAACCTTCTCTCAGCGGCACCATACGGCCTGCAACAAAGATGTTGTGAGCGACGACTGAGTCCCATCCTGCTTCGACACGCAAGGCTCCAGCGCCGGCGAGCCTTGGAGCCGCAACAGCAAAGATGCTGCCGCCCAATGCACGAGTATCGAAAAGGACGACAACTTTGCCGAGTGCGGTTAGTCCCGAGGAGACGGCAACGTAGGACAGGTACGCTGCATCGACTTGAGGGCAGACGGGTAAGAAGACATCCCAACAGGAGTCAAGCTTAGCGGATCCAGCGTCATAGACCGCGGAAGCAATCTGCCCAATAGAAGCTGAAACAGGAACTCCAACGTGGAAAACAAGGAGCGGAAAGCCAGGCACCGCCAGCATGACCGGTGCATCATGATACGAGGTTGCAACAGTGGAGCATGACGTGCACACATCCTCACCGAAGGCCTCCTTGAGAGCTTCAGCCTGGACTTCCGCAACCATCTGCGTGAACGCAGATCCTGCAACGGTTGATTCAGGGACAACGGGAAAATCATCAGGGACACCATCCGCAATCCTATGGAGTTCGGTAATGATTCGCACGGCGCCTGGAGGCATGGCCCAGACCTGGACTGGGAGGCTGTGCCAAAGGCAACAGCTCAGAGCACATCGCAGAATCTTCCATCGGCCTAATTTGGGTCGATGCTGTCTTGTGGCCCTCCGGAGGCATACACGCCCTTTCCTGTCCACCCAAGGTGACCAGTCAAGGCAAGGGCCTCCAGCGGTAGCACTGCCAATCGGAATTGCAATGCTCCTCGGTGCAGCCTCAGAGAAAAGACCTATACGCCTGCACGACCTAGAGGGCTTACCCAAAAGGGCATCCAAAAGCAGTCTGAGCAAGGCACTAAGCAAAAGCCAGCGAAGTACAAGCTGGGATTCCCGTAAAAACCTCTGAAGAAAACAGAGGAAGCACCCAACAGCAGAGGGGTGTGTGTCAGTAGAGGGATTGGTGACATCTGTCGGGGCCCATGTCCCAGAGCGACCGATACATGTGTTGCGCGCTCCCAACATAGTCACCATATGAACACCGGCAGCTGCTGAGGCAGCGGAGCCAGGCATAAGCCCCCCAGTGCCCGACGACAAAACCACAGACATGGGAAGAGTCGCACGCAAAGGCAGAAAGCTAAGCGCCATGAGAAGAGCGCTGAGGCGGGGGCGTCCTTGGCAGGCAAAGTGAAATCCAAAATTCCGCCAAGGAGCCGAGGAAGACAATGGGAAAGATAGCAGAGAGGCTATCGATGGGCGAGGAAGGAAACGGCAAGGCAGTAGCAAAACGGGAAGGTCCTGTACAGAAACCCAGGCTGTACAGAACTGCATCCTACAGTTTTTCCAGAGGACAGTAGGACGAGAGTGCCAGCTATCAATCAACCCGACGGGCGACCTAAGGCCGGAACTCAGCTTACCCCCATGGCAAGTTGAGCTCACGACCTCATGGCCCACCAGGGAAAGAGTCGCCGCATCATCATCCCACGTCCGCGGAAAAACCGTGCTCAAGCATCCAGTCCGAAGACGTGGGGAACATCGAAGCCGTCTTCCTCGCCGTCTGGGTCGTCGTCCACGATACCTGCCGCACGGTCCTGTGACCCAAGCGCACCGGATGTGCCAGACATGGGCGGCCCCTCGTGCTGCATCTGCAGCCTCCGGCCACCGAAGGGCTCCGCTGCAGACCTCAGGCGCTGCATCTCGGCTGCTCGCGCTGCATCCAGCTTTGCCGCTAAGGGGATCCCTGTAGCGTCCGGCGCGGGCGCTTGCTTTGTCGCGTCCTTTATGCTGCTCCGCGGAGGAGCATCTGCTGTTGGGACACGTGGTCGAGAGTTGTCCCTTTGTCCAGGGTGCAGGCCGGGTGGCCGCGCAGCAGGGGAAACCTCCGAAGGCATCGCATGCCGCTGCATCACATGGGCCAGATTGGACGGAGACTCGGTTGCGCCTCCAAGTGCGGCATACGGATCCTCCATAGCCCTCGGGCTGGGCGTGGCTCCCACGGTAGTAGCCTCGCACGGCATAGCGGCACAAGGGTGCCCAAGCATAGGGGTACGAGGAGCGGCCGACGTCGTTCTTTGAGGAGTGACCGTGATCATGGCCGGGGCAGCTTGCATAGCCCTTTGGAGCACGCCACTCATACCAGCTTGCGCCTCCTGCTCCCAGGTAGCAGTTAGCTGCGCCCATGTTTGATCCATGGCCGCTTCCTCTTGCATGCCAGGAGTCTGTCCGGTAGCAACAAGTTGGACCAGAGCGGCCCGAGCTTGCTCCTGGCATCCCATGGCGTCGCCAAGATCCGACGCGAGCCGGGCGAGGTCGTTCACGTGCCTGGCCTTCTCTTCTAAGAACGTCTTCTGGAGGTTCTTCTCGAATGTTACCCATTGCTGCTTCAGGGTGTCCTGCGCGGCCTGGATCTTGATAACTTTCTGCTCGGCCTTCCTCGCCACATTCAATGCAGTCTGAAAAGTCTGCAACGGCCCCTTGGCCGCAGCCGGCTGAGCAGGTGCAACATTCCCAGAGGCTGCGTTCGCCGGAACAGCCGCGTCGTAACGCGGGAACCTGGCTTTGCCTGCATCTTGTTGCGGCCGCTGACTCGGCGACCCCCAAGAACCACGCCAGAGCTGCCAGTCCTGCGATCCGGTTGGCTTGCCTGCTCGCCATGGTCGATTGCTGTTGCGGCCCATAAAACCAAGCAAACGCCGTCTCAAAGAAGGGCACGAGGCGTGGTGCGCGAACAGGCGATCAGCCTGCCTCGCAGTGGGCTTGAAACCGCGACGGAGCAACCGTCGCACCGAGGAGCGTTTGGCTCGACGACGCCGGTGCCAAGTAGGCGAGCGAATCCCTATGGCCGCTAAAAAGGGCGCGCCTCAAGGGCGCTGGGGCAGCAGTTTTCCTGTTCTACAGGCGATCTGAGCCCTATATATTATATACAGGGCTCAGATCGCCTGTAGAACAGG